CTGATATAGGGCTGGCAAGTGAAATTAATCTTTTAAAAAATATTATGTTCAGTATCTCTCATCCTCAAAAAGCCCCTGATTTCTAAAGCAGGGATAAGGAAAACCCATAACTTTTCAGAATTAGCTCACAGTGATTTAAATTATAATGTATCAGCTTGATGAAGAATTATCTAAAACTCATTTTATAAAGTTTATTGTTTAAAAAACCACAAATGCAATGGTTCTATCAAGCTACAATTAAGAGTTTTCTTTGCCTGGCATCCTTGTTTAAGTAAGAAGTGGCCAGATACAGCCTTAACATATTCAGAACATCTTCCCAGATATCGTAGTATGAAATGTGAAATGTTCGTATTTTTCTAGTTTTATATACTTTTATTTTCTACCAATTACTCTTTGACTTAAGTAGACTAAAATTATTGAATGTAGATTTCAATCAAGTTAAGAGAAATTATCATTAGTTTATGGTCAACATTTAAAGGAGGGTATATTTTATATATATATATGTATTCCTTGTTACACTTATTTTGTTCAGATTTCTATGATTGTATAATACCAGCATTTATAAACATATTTGTTAACCAGAAGCAAACAAAACAAAATTTAAAAAAAATAAGGAAAATGGTACAAGGAACAAAATGGGATGTTTTGCATCAATTTAATGTTGACGAGTAGTGGTTTTAAGTGTACTTTTTAAAAAATGATTTTAAATGTATTTTGAGATATAATAATTAAGCATAATAGGATTTGGGACTATATTTAGTAATAATATCTGTAGAGAATTAGGAATTGATATGTGTTTTATGATCAGCAGTTTTCTAATCAATAGAAAATTGAGAATTAGAAATTAATTTGTTGGGACTTTTAATGATATTACAAGAGGATAAATAAGTATTAAGTCATGAAAAGCTTAAATTATAGAATTATAGGGTAAAAGGAATTTAGAAGTGTCCTTCTTTAGGTTGATAAAGACTTTTTTTTTCTAAAGATTTTATTTACTTATTTGACAGAGAGAGATCACAAATAGGCAGAGAGGCAGGCAGAGAGAGAGGGGGAAGCAGGCTCCCTGCTGAGCAGAGAACCCGATGTAGGGCTTGATTCCAGGACCCTGAGACCATGACCTGAGCTGAAGGTAGAGCCCTAACCCACTGAGCCACCCAGGTGCCCCGGCTGATAATGACTTTTAACAGCTATTAAAGCTGTGTAATTCTGAATTTTGACCTAGAAGAGGAAAGTGGGTTGAAAAGGACCATAGAACATAGGGACATAAAAGTGGGCAAAGGGAACCTACTTAGGCAATGATTATAACTGTTCACATGGGAGATGATGTAGATTGTACCAGATGTGTACACGTGAAACTATGTGTGTGTGCACTTACCTGCATATAAAGAGTGAGAGGGACAGAGAGAACATAATAAATACGTTGATGAGAAAATGAACAGATTTCGTATATGCCAAGTATTTGAAGCATGCACCTATAATTTATTTGATGACTGTGAAGTTTCATTTACAGTTTGTTAATTTTACTCTCATGGTATTTTGTGAGAAAGAAGAAGAATGCAGGAAGGTATAGGCAGAAAAAAAGCAAAAACCAGCCTATCAATTTCACCACCGTGAGAGAATGACTATTAACATTTTGATGTCTTTCCTTCCGATTTTTTTCTATGAATACAGTTTTATGTTTGGGAGATCTTATTGTATATACACCTACCCATCTAGAACTGTGAGGATTCTGAGATTTTCCCTTAGTGGCATGCTAATGGGTTAGCCTGCCTCAGTTTCATCAATGCAGGTAGATGACCAGAGACTTTGAAGTCAGAAACAAAGGACTCCATTGCTCAAGGTGCGGAGAGCAGTGTCAGTGTATTTATGTCAGTTCTCCTTTCTTCAAGTCCCATGGAGGCAAGGCAGGGGGCTCAGATGAATTAGCTGGGCTTACAGTGGGTTACATTACAAGAGAAGAACACTAAAAAGATTCAGAACCTGAATCTTTTATAATGGCAGTAATGTGCCTGCCCTTTGCTCTGGAAGGAGATGCTATTATATGAGGGCAGTAAGCATGTCTACCCTTTGATCCTAAGGGAGAAACTACTTCTGTCTTCCAAGGTTATTCACTATACAAACATTCTGGAAAGATTGTGAGAAAAGAAGATAGTGCCTTTGCTTGTAAAACATGCTGAAATATGAGACATGTGGAGAATTGTCTCTCAACAAATAAACATTTTCACAGATCTTTTTTCTTTCTTCTTTTTTTTTTTTTTCTGTTTTGAAGATTTTATTTATTTATTTGACAGAGAGAGCGAGAGAGCACAAGCAGGGGGGGGCAGTGGGGAGAGAGAGGGAGAAGCAGACTCCCCAGCAAGCAGGACGCCCAATGCAGGGCTTAATCCCAGGACTCTGGGATCATGACCTGAGCCAAAGGCAGACGCCTAACCATCTGAGCCACCCAGGCGCCCCTTTTATCCTCAGCATTTTAAATGCTGCATTTAGCTGTAAAGACTGAAATGTGGAGGGCACCTGGGTGGCTCAGTTGCTTAAGTGTCTGACTTTGGCTCAGGTCATGATCTCAGAGTCCTGGGACTGGGATCAAGCCTCATGCCCCACACTGAGTTCTGCAGGTAGTGGGGAGGCTGCTTTTCCCTCTCTCTCTGTCCCTCCCCCCACTCTTGCTGGTACATGTATGCTTGCTCTCTCTTTCAAATGAATAAAATCTTTTTAAAAGGAAGAGTGAAATATGAGATACAGCATAATTCATGATCAATCCCCAATTTTCCTCCTAATGATTTCTTAGGTTGTTTCCATTAAAAAAGCTTCACATGGACATTTCAATTTGGCACAGAGTAGGGTAAAATATTACAGTCACCTCACATGTGTGGTAGTTAAGTTGGAGTAGGTAGCGAATGGGCTCTCCCTGATTTGAAGACTGCGCAGCCTCTTCAGGCTGGTTTTATGTACAAATATGCATGAGCTATGAATGGTAAGCATGTCTGTTGTCTCAAGATGTTATCCAGAAGGAGACAGGCTGTGTGAAGCTGGATTTGAATGCCGCTGTTGATAGTCCAGCCTGCACTGGTTTTCTTCTGGAAAGTGGACATATTCCCTGACATTTCTGCTGCTCATATGTCTGACTGAGCCTCCAACAGAAGCTCCTACTGCCTGCCTTTAGCAGGGCCCAGAAAAGTCCATACAAATCCCTGCAGGGAAAAGGGGGAAAATCTGAGATCCAAATAATGACCATCTTGTTTAGACATCTGGAGGGGGCCTAGTCTGGAGTGGGCCTGGTCTGGGAATTAAAGAAAGACAAAACAGGATCATGACCAGGTTTTAGTCCTGGGTCTTCTATGCAAAGAAAATACCCAGTACAGAGGCTTTCCCAGGGTTGTGAGGTCTTATAAGGTATCTAGAATGTGGCAGAAGTGATGCAGATTGGGACAAGACTTCCTCAGTGTTGAGAAGGACTAAATGAAAGGTACTAGGAGAACCACTGTCTAGTTAGAAATAGTCCCCCAAAATTCCATGTTGAAATTTGCAACAGATGTTGCAAGAAAAATGAACTGTAAAATGGGAGGAGGCAACTCTAATATTATTTTGAGTAAGCTATAATCAGAGATTAAGGGGGTGCCTGGGTGGCTCAGTGGTTAAATGTTTGCCTTCAGCTCAGATCATGATCCCAGGGTGCTAGGATCGAGCCCCGCATCGGGCTCCCTGCTCAGCAGGGAACATGCTTCTCCCTCTCCCACTCCCCCTGCTTGTGTCTCCTCTCTCACTGTCTCTCTGTCAAATAAATAAATAAAACCTTAAAAAAAAATCAGAGATTAAGGAGTCAAAGCATTGTAATTTTTTTTTTTAAGAGGGTGAAGAGAGGCAGAGGGAGAGGATCTCAAGCAGGCTCCACACCTGGCATGGAGCACTCCCTGGGGCTCAATATCACAACCCTGAAATGATGACCTGAGCCAGAATTAAGAGTTAGCCACCCAACTGACTGAGCCACCCAGGCGCCCCAAAATTTATAATGTTTTTAAAGATTATTTTGGGTTTTGTTCTAGGGAGACCAGTGGGCTGCAGGAGTAGATGCTGGTGGTTGGGACAAGTCTGGTAGCAGTAGATCAGTTTAGATAAAGAATGTCTTTTCAGGTGCTTGGATGACTCAGTTAAGTGTCTGCCTTTTGGCTCAGGTCATGATCCCAGGGCCCTGGGATTGAGCCCCGCACTGGGCTCCCTGCTCATCAGGGAGACTGCTTCTCCCTCTGCTCTTCCCCCTGCTCATGCTCGCTCGCTCTCTCTCTCTCTCAGAAATAAATAAAAATCTTTTAAAAATGTTTAGATAAAGAATGTCTTTTGGAGTAAAACCTATTGAAGTTGTTGATGGGGTGTCTCTGGGAAGAAAAGAGAGGGAAGGAATTAAGGATGACTTCTAGGTTTGGGGCTTGGACTACTCATTGGTTAGTGATACAATTACTAGATAAGGAAGATTGAGGAAGGAATGGTTTTAGGTAGAATAGCAGGAAAGCATCATTAATTACGTTGAAAATAGAAAGGACTCCTCTACTAAATATCTCTGCATGACTTCAAAAGAAAATCTTACATGAAAAAAAATGATATTGATATTTAAATTGTTGCCCCGTTTTGTTGGGTTGTCTTGGAGTACCTAGAACTTTACTTGGCAAACGGGTGTATGGGTGGATGGATGGATGGATGGATGGACAGATGGATGGATGGATTAAAGTGTCCTAGAAGTGAATGCTCAGACTGATTCCCTCCTTTTCTAATTTTCAGCTTTGTTTATGAAACCAATGAAAGATGGCTCCTTCAGAGGAAGCAGTGCATGAGTCTCAGGGATTCTGACCCAAACTACTATGTCCATTCTGAGACAAATGTCTGTCTTAAACATTGTCCATAATTCCTTCCCATTAAGACAAAACTCCATGGTTCATTTCAACTATAAATGACAATTTTTTTTTTGCACTTTGTAAAAATGATCACAATAATCTTTATTTTACCAGACAGGAAGCTCTGCTTGCGGCAATCAGTGAAAAAGATGCAAATATTGCCTTGCTGGAATTGTCTGCTTCCAAAAAGAAAAAGACACAGGAAGAAGTTATGGCCCTGAAGCGGGAAAAAGATCGACTCGTGCATCAGTTAAAGCAGCAGGTGGGGCCTCCTGCACGAAAGGTGTGTTTGGCTGGTTTGGGGGCCTTGGGTGCTTTCTCTGGGTTTAGCTGCTCTTCATTCTCCCATGCCCATCATGCCGGCTCACACAGTTAAAACCAGGTAGGAATGATATTGCCCAAGTTGTTGCTGGAACATCCTTTTACTGCTTTTCTGTTTATGTGCATGTGCCTGGGCTTGTGTGGTTTGCAGCCAGCGCTGTTTCCCTTTCCTTTATATTCACATCATCTCCCCAGAAATAACTCTCAGGTCTCTTCCTTCCAATGGACTTTGTATGACTTCTGACTATTTCTTGGAACCTCTGAATTAAATTCTGGGCACCTTCTTTCCCATTGGACCTGTTACCTTCTGTCTTGCTCACTTTCTGGGCCCCACCAGTGACTCTCCTCATCCAGTTCTCTAGATTTCTTTCTCTCCATACTTCCAACCTTGGTTCTTCAACTAGTTCCTTTAGGACCTTTTGACTAAGGGACATCTCCCAGCCCCCAGCACTGCCAGACTGCTTGGAGACCTCCCTGGCCATTATTTAGCTATACATTCTTTTTCTCACCTATTTACTCAATTATCCCAATTATCCCATCTTTTTCCTCCTCTCTAGGCCACTGTATTTCTTCTGAGGGAAAAGGAAGGAGGGAAAAAGGAAGGAGGGGCAAAGACCTAACTTGTACAGAAAGCAGTTCTTTTCTTTTTGGAGGGTTTCCTGGAAGTGGCTTGAATGGAAGTAGCGTATTGCAAAATCATTCCTGAAATCTTCAAACCTTATTTCTTCTCCATATATAACTTGGGGGATTTTGGAAGCAATTGTTAAAGATATTCCCTTGGATTCTAGCTTCATTATATAACGAATTCCGCATATATTATGGCTCAACAGTCTGTGGTCTCACAAGGTGGCTGTCACATCTTAGCTTAGGACACATGTGGCTCTGAAACTCTCTAAATGCCACATGGTACACATGGAGTGTGTCCACATCAATTTCAGCCACCAGCACTGGTTCTCTGCCTGCTAGGGTGTCTGAGCACAGAGTGCAAGGTGAGTGGAAAGGAAGCCCAAAGAAATAAGCCCCTTCCCTTCACAATTGGGCCAACTCTTTCCCTCCTCAGGAAGGAAAAGTCATCCTTCGGCCCCGAGCCAGAGTCCATTTCCCATAGGACTGCCTTGCTGAGAGAGAGAGACCACTGCCACGCATGGGTGCCCTCTCCTGCAGAGGGAGGGTCCCAGTCACTGCCAGACATTGGGGTCATTCCACAGAGCAGCATGCCTCGCTAGTGCTGGCCCTAGGGGTCGGGAACCGCTTACATCTGACCTCTTTGTTTGGGGCTGTGCATCTTCTACACTGGGTTTCTATCCACTTGGCCACAGAAAGTCAAGATAAACCCCCTTCTTTGCTTTCTCCTAACTCTTTCCTGTGAACCCTGCACCCTCCCCTCCTGCACCTAACCATTGTAGCTTTCTCCCACAGGTATATAGACCTAAGAAACAGCCCCTGAGCTCGAATATACCATGCACTTGTGATGCTGGCTACAGCCCAGATATTACGGCCAAGTACCACGGGTCCAGCTACGATGCATACATGATCCAAAGGTCTCAGGTCAGTCAGTAGCTAAGGAGACACTTACCCCCACCATGGGGGGTGGTGAGGGTGCATAACAGCTACATCCTGCCTTGCCCTTTCCCTCTTTTAATGATTTCTAGTACTTGGTGGCCAAAAATCCTGTGACCATAGATGATAGCATTATATCTTGATTTGTAATGTGATTTCATTTATTCTGTATTTGCCAAGGGTTCCAGACTTGGTGGCTACCCTCTGGGGCCAGCTCTGCGGAAATGGCCTGGCATTGCTGCAAAGCCAAGACTACCAGAGGCCTTATGGTCAGGCATAGTGGATTATATTTTTCTTTCTGTCTCTTAGATACCTTGCTCCCCAAATCTTCCTCTACTTTTCCCAATAAGGAATTTTTTTAAGGCTGTTTTTTTTTTTTCTTTCTCAGCATCATGAAAATGCACTCCTGGATTCCAGGAAGGATTGAGTGTAGCCCTTCAATTTGCTCCTGGGAAACTGCACAAAGCCTTCATTATTCACAACAGGCTTGGTTTTGGGTATCATGGGGCACATTTGGGAAACCCAGCCACACAGAGTTAGGCTTCCGCCTGAACTAAGGCAGGGTCTGAAGGGCTGTTGTGGAAAAAAAAAGGCAGCAAATGAGAAGGATGGGCTCCTTGATGATTTAGGTTTGAAATCCTTCCCCACACCCTATAGGCAACAGAGGGGGTGAAAAAAAAGCACATGAATTGATGTAACCTTGTTGTAAATGACACGATTCTAAGGATAATGATTAATTAGCTTATAAAAGCACTCCCTTTTTATTGAGCGTTTGCTCTGTGCCAGGATGTGTATCCAGCGTCCTCAGGGACTTTGTCCCCTGGTCCTCATGGCAGGCAGCTCTGTGGTGTGGGTGGCAGGATTACCTCCCTTTCCCAGGGGGCGTAACTGAGACTCAGAGTATGAATGACCAGCCTAAAACACACAGCTTGTAAGCTGTAGAGCTTAGGTTTTAGCTAGTCCACCTGAGTCCACACATACCTCACCCGGTTCAGAAAAGAATCTGGAGCGACAAGCAGAAGTGTGTTGCAGAAACTGTGAGGTCCCCTTATCTTTGTAAGCTTGAAGTAGATGGCGTGTAAGAATGTTCTCTGGCTATTCATAAGGGGTAGGTTCTGCCTAGAGATCTTAGGCTTAAGCTATTAGATCATGTCAATAATTCCTTATACTTCTGAGTTTTCACCACATGCCAGGCATCAGTGTAAAGGTTTTACATACACTGACTCATGGATTCCTAATGAAACTGAAGGGCTGATGCTCTTATAGGAGAAGGAACTGGTGATCCAGAGAGATTGGGTGCCCTACTCAGGTGTCAAAGCTGGACATTCCATGATGCTTGAAAAGACCCTTTAGCACACAACCATAACTGTATTTGCAGATGCCATCTAGAGTTGGACTGCTTAGGGTTACTCTTGCTTGAGCACTTGTTAGCTAGCTGTGTGATCATGGACAAAATACTAAACCTCCATAAACCTTAGTTTCCTTGCCTGTAAATTGGGCTAATAATCTAATTCAAAGTATTGTGAGTATAATGTAAGAGCTTTGCATGTGCCTGGCACATAATAGGTACTGTATATTTGTGAGCTGGCATGATTACTACTACTACTACTACTGTTGCTATTACTAACTGATTTTGTCACCACCAACCCTTAGAGGTAGTTTGATTTTGATTTCATTGTTGATATTTTTCCACAAGCCTGGGAGTCATAACTTGTTGAGAACACACCCCTGAGCTGTGGGACAAAGAGCAGACAGACTTCAGACCCAAGTGCTCCTGGTCTTCCCTCCCTTAAAGCCCAAGCACTTGGGGAGCAGTGAGCAGTTGTATCAGGAACCATTGACCCCAGCACCCAGGGTGCACTACAGAGGCTCATAGTGCTTATTAAATTTGCTTGATTTGTGTATGTAGTCACATAGAGTCAATCAGAGAGGGTGCCCCTGGGAGAGTCCCAAACCTCAGCTGTCATCACTTGTGTGACTGACACCTGTATGACTGACAGTCTTTCACGTGTCCAGGTCAGTGGGAGGGGGAGGCCTGGGTCTGGGTGTTCATCTGCCCAGTGTTCTGTAAGGATACTGAAGCAGACTGGCTCATGAGAGATACCACCCTCTTCAGGTTGCCTTCTGCTCAGCTCATCTCATGCAGATCTTCCTACTGCCCATGACATTTAGTAGTTAGTTCAACGATCCCCACAGTTATTGCACTTTGCCAAGAACTTAGTAGGCATGCAATAAATATTTATTTTGTGAATGAATGCATGATTCCCACATGCCACCTCTATGCCAAGTGCATTATGTATACCTTAGTTTACAAACATTATCTTGCTTTTTCCTCGTGATCAACCAACCAACATATTGCATGCCTGCCATGTGCCAGTCTCTCTACCAGGTCCTGGGGATTCATTCGTAACAGTTACTGTATCTGCTGCAATGAGGAGAGCATCATTCTTATTTTTGAGTTGATCAAACCAAGACCATATGACACAACTACCATACCTATAACATACCACTTATATCTGGTAGTGGAGGGCTGGGCGTCTGAGATGTAGGAGTGCTAACACTTTGCTCTTAACTAGGCTAAATACTGCATCCTTAAGGCAGTAGTGTGAGCCATGGATTAGCCCCCATACCTCACAGATGCTGTCAGAGGAATCAAGTTCCAGTGCCTCAACCTCTGGCTCCCAAGCTGCCCAGGGGTATAAGGATGAGGTATGGGTATGGGTAACTCACTGAGGCCAAGTACCATGTTGGAATTCAGCTCAACAATATTCATTGAGTGCCTTCCCTAACACATTTTTAAAATACATCAGTGATCAAAATAGATAAAGACCCCTTCCTAGTGGAGCTTATGTTTTAATGGTTGGGGGGTAGAGAATGGGAGAAAGGCAATAAACCTGAACATAATAAATAAGTTAAAAAAAAAAAAAGAATAATGTAGACCAGTATAAGGGAGAACAGAAGTGTCAGGGAAGGATTGAAGACATGGTAACAATGTAAAATAGGGTAGACAACTGGAACTCATTGGGAAGGAGACACTTGAGCAAAGACTTGAAGGAGGTGAGAGAGGGAGAGTCCTTTAAATATCTAGGGGAAGAGTGTTTTGGCACAGAGAATCACCAGTGCAAAGCCCTAAGGCAGGAACATGCTAGTGTGTTTGGGGGAAGAACAGGGAAACCAGTGTGGCTGGAATAGAGTAGGCAAGGAGATGAAGAGGGGAGCTGTCAGACATTAGTGGGGTGGGGATAGGATGTGTAGGATTCTTATGCAGGATCTGCTGAGAGTGGTACATTCTGGAGCAGAAGTTCTCTGCAGTTAGAAAACAAAATACATTAGCCATGCAAACTCAGAGCAGGGAGGACTCTCAGGTACCACTTGGAGTGC